GCAAAAAAATACTCATATTTCATAACCCAACCTGTAAACAAATAGATAGAGAAAAAAACTGAACAAATATATGTGTTATTATATATATGTAGATCAAACCACAGAACCAAGAAAAAGAACAGAACCCATGAACAACGATAGAAATCATATAGTTAAAGAGTAAAGTGAAGGGAAGGTTCAATAATGGAAAAAATCATCGAGCAAGACATAAATCAATGAGGTTGCTGGTGATGGTGATGATGAGGATTGTGTTTTTGTTTGGTTTTCATATTATCAATTTCGGTTTTGAAAGAAAAAAAGTCTGCCTCACAATTCAATAATGGTACATGAAATATGGTAATAAGAGATGTTGTAAAGCTACGAGATTGATGAAAGAAAGGAACCCTTTTAACACCCACATCCGTAATTCTGTTGTCCCTCGGAGTTTAACATGATCGGATCGGGATAATCCGAGAAACTGATTTATGGAAATAAGACGGGCGTCAGTCTGAGCTAAGTCGAAGCGATGTAGGTAAGAATAGAAGGAAGAGATTACGAACCCATCGTCCATAGAGTCCCCTACACTCAGCGCGTTGCGGCAGGCAGCAACAAAGGACTGTTCAACGTTGATAGACTCCTTGGCTGAGGTCTCAAAGTAAGGGATGTTTCCTTTAGACTGGCACCAACTCATCGCTCGCTTCTGGGAAACCTGGGTGATGAGAAAGCACAAGCAAGATGGTAGTTGATCATTATGATCAAGTTTGTCCACTGAAGATCTCAGTTGTATCTTACCTGCCTCTTCCCTTCCTCAACATCAATCTTGTTGCCTAATACCACAAATGGAAAGTTGTCCGGGTCTCTGGGAGAAGCCTGTCCCAAGCAAATGGTAAATAGAACGCATTGAAGTTGGCCTCGAGCTGATTCTTCGCACGGAACAGGCAGAAAATCAAAACCATGCTGACCTGTATCAAGAACTCGTCTCGCCAGCTGTCGAGCGTCTCAAAGCTCTTGCTACTGTTCACATCGTACACCAGCACGCAGCAATCCGCCCCACGGTAGAAAGCGACTCCGAGTGACTGAAAGCGTTCCTGGCCGGCTGTATCCCAGAGCTAAGATGATAAACAGATGAGTTTTAAGAAGGATGGGTGATGAAGGTGAGAGGTATGAATGGGTTCCGATACTAACTTGCATAGTCACTACTCGGTCTGAGTTTGGGTTAGGTTGATGTTGAGGCTGAGAGGTAACTTGTTGGCTAGTAGAGGGCTCAGACTCGATATAGACCTCCTTTGTCAGGAAATCAGCGCCGATGGTTGCCTACAAGTCCAAGCTCAAGTCTCTTCAGTTCTGATTTGGGCTACTCAATAGATATGTAAAGTATGAGATAGGTGCTTGGTACTGACTTTATATTGAGTCGAGAATCGTTTGTTGACATATTGGTTCATGAGTGAGGTCTTCCCCACACCTGAGTCACCGAGGATGATGACCTTGAGGAGAACTTTTTTGCGAGAGGCCATTGTGATTGGACAGGGAAAAGACGGATGTCGGGAACTGTGATGTGTTGCTGAGTGGGAATGATAAAGTGATGAAAAGAGAAGAGAGAGATGAAGTTGGAGGGAATCGGATGGTGAGGAATGCTGATGGTGGATAGACGGTTTGAGTTGAAGTCAGTGGATGAAGATGTGACTCTGAAAGGAGGATCCGCAAGGATGATAAAGTTGAAGGGATAGAACTCAAATTTGACACTGCGTACAGTTTTATATGTAGAGCTTATTACTCGTACAGCTAATACACACCGTTACATTAGATCGGTACAGGTACCGAGAAGTCTTCATAAATATCACCTGACCTTGAGATCAGGAGTTCTGCAGTTCTACTTATCTCAAGCACTTCCAGAACGAGGTCGTCACTGATCTGTTACATACATGAATTGCCTTCTCAATACATAGAAGTTCTTCATTGGAGAAGTTTTGGATTGGTAGTTCAGTTTGAGATCATATCATATACTTCAGTAAAGTCACCAAAAAGATTGCGGCCAGCACGCGTGTTTAGACTGCTGCAGCTATACTAATTACATAACAGCCCAGCTTTGTTGGGAACATGAGAAGGAACCAATCGAGTCGAGAATATTGGCCGGATAACGCTGAACCGAGAATATATGTCATCAAGAAGTCGAAGCTCCGAAGCTGCTGGGGTCACGAAAAGATCTCATCGAGCTGACCTTGGGTATAACTCTTTGCAGAAAGTCAAAATTAATAAATGTATCATTCACATCTCCAAAAGAAGTACAAGAATTTTTTACAGGCCTTTTATAATCAGTTTCTTACCAATTTCTCTCAATCAACCCATCAAAATTTTGCAAGCCGCTTCCCTTTTTAGTTTCACAACCTGCAGGCTGCACAGAAGCTACATCTGCCACAATACTTCTCTTTCTGTCGAATATATTTACTTGTTCCTTCAAGAATTTTTGTCCGTTTTATGAGATCAAGTAGAACTTGAGTATCTTTGGTTTCACATCAACCCAAAGCATCATAACTTTTTGTTGCTAGGGATTGACGTTGTGAGGTATATACTCGTCTGAGGATGTTGTAATCATTCATCATCACAATGCCGATGTATCCCTTTGAACGGTTCGATGACCGATGGCCGATGGCGAAAATCAAGAGGTTTGTTAATTCTTCTCATACGATGATCGGCGTACACCAAATCACTAGCGCCTAATCGCCAATCAACAGTTTTTGGTGCGATCTCAATGAGTTTTAAGGTAAATAGGCCTTATGATTTATCAATACTCCTGAAAAGAAGAATATTCTGAATACAAATGACCTGATCTCGGCCACTGATCACTGGTTACTCTGTGCTCAATTCGTGAATTAGTGATACAAGCCCACTAGCAGGCGTTTTCCCCCGGGCACTGAGGGGACTTAGTTAAGTCAGCACTAGAAGAGTCTCACAAGTTATATATTCGAGATGTTTGTTGGAATTTGATGATCGGCCAGAGGTGACTAAAAGCATGCCTGCTCAACTTCATGATCGCAGAGAGTTACAAATTATTTTCAGAGGGTCGGACTTCAAGCTCGGAGGTCAAGGTTTAAACAGCTTTACAACATCACATAATCAGCTTTATAAGTCCTCGTCGACTAATTTGACCTATTTTTATACTTCCTTTGAGCCTTCTTCTTAAGTATCTCTCCAAAATATACACCATGCGCTCGACATTCTTTTCCCATATTGTGGTGTTACTTCTCCTTAACAGCGCTTGCAGTCAAGGCGGTGTGGTGATCAGGAGTCAGGTAGGATTTTCGTCAAATTGTGAAACCGATGGAATGAACCAGGGTGATTGGATCTTAATCACATCTGATTAAGTCGCTTATCCAACTTACGATGTTTTTCACAACATATCCAGCTTGCACCTCCAAAAACATAACATCCAATTCGGCATCGTCGTCTGCATCAGCCTATAGCTCGGGATCATCTCCTGTCTCATCTGAGTCGAGTACGGGGAGTGAGATGGGCGCTGGATCGGCCATTATACCATCAATGAACGAGACGAACATGGAGAATGGCGCTATGCCAATGATGAATGCGACTGTGATAGGAAACGAAGAAGGGGCGGGAAGTGCTTCGTCAAATGATCCGGTCACATCAAGCGGGTTCTTACTGATGGATATCACGAGGTGAATAGCTTGAAGATCCAATGACCGTTAACTGAGACAATACTTATTGGGCTTTACAACTTGGTCAAACTTTAGGATTGGCTTCAATAAATATGGCGTTCTTGTAGCTTTGCTTCACAGGACCTCACCCTTGTCGGTGGCTGTGATGATGTCATATGTTCTCTAAAAGGCGTAGAACCACAGGCAGCGAGAGATCACGGTGACACTGGTTGATAAACGTGACTAGACTTCATATTACATACTCGTATCCTTGTCTTCCCCCTTGTCTTCCCGATAGGCGTTGATCGCAATCATCTGAATTTACATTGCTCATGAGCCAGGTCTCATCAACTATAGCTATGTACACCACGGGGCGACTTTAAACTGAGCCCACCTGGAATCGAATCAGTGTGGCCTCAGGTGGAGAGCCCGGGAAAAAAAGGGCATTTCTAGGTGACAGGAACGTGGGAGAGGCCACGTGGTCCTCACCCAGGCCGTCACCTAGCCACGACATGAAAAAACTGAGCACATTGGCGTAGTGTCATCCAGGTCTCATTCAACTTCTTGTGTTTGTGTACATATTGCATAGCCTGATGTAGTGCAAGGTAGCTTCATGCAGTATATATACGTCTAAGCGCTAAGTCACAGTATAGGTCTGTTTAGCTCAGTGGTTTAGAGTGCTGCCTGCATCCCTGCTCCATACCAGCAGGCCATGTGTTCAAGTCTCCCTGGGTGTTGTTCTTTTGGACATTTTGTAGGACCTTTTTTTGCCTATACATGATTTACTCACCTAATGACCAGGTTAGCCATCACCTTGTGGACACGTGATCACATCAGGTGTTGGCCACCCTGAGTTTCACCTGAAATCAAATCAGTGTGGCCTCAGGTGGAGAGCCCGGGATTTTTTGGCAGAGTATCATTTCACCTGATGCTCACCTGCCAGCCGCCCCGTGGTGTACATATCACTGGATATATAAACTCCTCCCAGTTTGATTTCTCATCCTCTTCATCTTAGAGAATTACGTTGGACATCGAGAGTGTCTCCACAAACTTCTCCAACAAGCCCCTCTGACTTTATCCTTTTCCTTGCCACCACGAATCAGTATACAGCTAAGGGTAAATCACACTTATGTGATCACAGCGGTGTGAAATCTTACAACATGACTGCAAGACAAAAACACACTTGCACAATTCATTAGCCAAGTGGACTCAAAACTCTGGGGAGCGATGATGACAGTCAATCACTCCATTAAGAACATGTGCATTTTCCTTCATGGATGTTATGGTTGCCTCTTTTCAAGCTGTACTCTGCTTTACTTGTGTCGGAATATAGCATGTTATACTCATGTGGGTTTCCCCAAACCAAAGGTTTCCGTGGCGCAATTGGTTAGCGCGTTCGACTGTTATAGGGCTTGTTTCGGGGTCTGCAATCGAGAGGTTGACAGTTCAATCCTGTCCGGAAACGTTTTGCTGCGCATTGTCCCGCATAAGTTGGATTGCTCCAGCTGCTGTGCAGCAGCAGTTCGGCTGTTTTGTCGTCTTGAGATTCGCTGCGTGCAGTGTAAAGGTTGAAGTTTTTGATGAGAATATTCGTGTTACCGAGCAGAGAAACCCGAAGGTCTGATAGAGCAATTCTTGGGTACAGCAAGGATCATGGTGGAAAACATGCGTGAGAATCACCAAAGCTCAAGTTGTCCTGAACGAAGTAAAACAGGATTCCTATATCATGGTATAAGGCTACGCGGTACACAAGCCAGTACAAATGAGCAGGTTATCAAACCCGCGTACACAATTTAGGTCAGTGACATCCCTGTATGCGGGTAGCATCCCAAAGATATAGTATGCTTGTAATTTTTGGGCCGACGTGATACAAAGAATAAGTAGATCATAATAAGATGAATTGACTAAAGATCTAGCATGATATAGAATATTTGAGAAACACAATAAATGATGATTTTGAGGATAGACAGGCTATCTCTGTTCCAGATGGATAGTCGGATCTCTATAACTTGAATTCGCTCTTTGCATACTGTGTCTCAGCCGCAGCCGCTTCGTCAACGAACCTAAAAATCATAAAGCCGCATGGTCAATGAGGAGGTTTGAAAAGCTATAGGACGGTAAAGGGAAGACAAACCAATAAACTTGACCAGGAGGAAGAGGCTTGACCATTGAAGCTGGAAGCCCGAGGTCAGGTTGATCAAGGACCTTGCGAAGAACCTCCTTCTTGCCTTCTCCTACTGCCACAAAGGCGACTTTGTGAGCGTGGTTGAGGACCGGATAGGTGATGGTGATCCGGGTTGACGGTGGTTTAGGTGAGTCATCTAGCCAGCCTACCCAAGCTGAATCTTCACTGAGAAGAGCGTGAGAAGGAAACAAGGAGCATGTGTGTCCGTCCGGGCCAGTACCGAGTAGGATGAGATCGAAACGAGGAAAAGCAACCGCATTCTTGCCTACATATTGAAAGCAATATACGATGATCAAATCTCAGTTGACTGTTTCGAAATATGAGATCCGAAAACTCGAGCGATTGAAACATCGTATGTACCCGCAAATTCATTCATCAACTGTTTCTCGTAATCGTGACTGAGCTCTTCTGGGTCGTGAATGAGATCGGCAGAGATGGGATGTATATTTTCAGAGGGGATAGGTACTTTACTGAACAACCCCTCGTTGACCAATCTGTAGTTCGATTCTTCATGATCCAAGGGAACTGCTCTTTCATCTGCAAAGAACACCACCCTACGAGATTTTCAAGAACGTCAGACTGCGCTGACAGAGAAGAGCAGAGTAGTGAGATGAGAATAGAGCTCTTATACCATTTATCCCACTGCACCTCATCTCGACCTGATAGGCCACTTACAAGCGTCTGGGCCAATGAGCCACCTGAAACAGCCAGAGTAAACTTTGAGCGTTTGGCAATCGCTGAGGCTTGAGCCTTGATTACAAAGTCGCCCAGAGCGCTCGCAACCGAGTCTTTCGGAAGGGTATAAAGTATGGGAGGGTGAGGTATAGTAGATGGAGCTGCACTCATGATGATAAATAACGAGAAGGTTGATGACTCAGGAGGTTGGTGATTCGATTGATTTTAAATTACCAATAAATCCGAAGCATCCTACTTACCGGGTTGATCGATCCGCCGGATGGGACCGTTTGCGATCGGTTCTTACATACCTTTGAATCACCCTTGTGCCCAGCGGACATGGAAAATGGCCACTTTGACCTATCACAAAATCGTACTCACCGCTCGACAAGACTGACGCGGTGACACACAGAGAAGAGACGCTAAATAGCCAGGATTCGGCTCTCAGGATTCAGGAAACCCCAGCGCAGTTCCCGTGCCTCTGTCTAGCATTCGACTCACTTACTACGATGTAGGCCTCTAAGAATTCCTGAGTATGATTTCATCTCATGCATTTCAAGTGCAATTGAAAAATATTTTGACACACGAGCCAACCCACTCCGCTATATGAAACCGTATGCCTCAAATAATTGTGTTCTGTGTATGGGAAGCACTATGTATGACTATTTCTCTGGATTAGTTGATTTTCTCCAAAAGATACAAGTATATGTGAGTGGGGATATCATATATGGAAGAAAAGAAGAAAGATAACCAAAAATTTGAACATTTATATCATGGTATGCAAGACTGCCTGATGAAGCTCTGATTGCATAGTCGATGATGCAACGTGTATTGAGCTACCTCAAATGTAATCCTTGGCTTTCAACAAGGCACTTGAGATAACACCTATGTATCAAAAAACATATCACCAATCAATCCTCATAAAGAAACTTCCATGTTTTGATTGCTAGTTTGATTGGGGACATTGTAAATTGTGATTTCTGGGCAGTAAAATCCCTGCTCAAGTTCTGGATTTGTAAGCTGGTTGTGAAAGAATCAAATTTGGCAAGCTTCAGGATTTCTTGATCTGTTGGATGCAAAGATAAAAGTCTTCCTATCAATGCAAGCACCAGGTCTCTAGACTCTGAATTTCCGATCTCTCTGTGAACCTCGATTGCCTTCTTTATTATTTGTTTCTTGATCAACACGTCCACCTTATCATCCACATAGTATTTCATAGAGAGCCATTGAAGGAGTCGGAGGATCTTATTGTGATAGAAATGGTCTCCATGTTTTCTGATACTTGTTATCACAGAGGGATCTGTCCCTATCCCCTGGATGGATTCTATCAATGCTTTTGGCTTTGTGATTCGGGACATGAATTCTGTGAGGATTGTAAGTCCTTGAGTTATACCTTTTTCTGGAATAAGCTCCTCTTGTCTAGCTACATTTTAAAAGGAAGAATACACTTGAGATTCTTGATCCTTTCACAGAATATTCTTGACAGAAAAGAACCACACACCCATCCTGAGGAATACATTCTGAGATCCTTCCCCCCAGCCATACCAATTCAATCCTTCTTCTTGAACTTGAGAATTGAGGATTTCACTGTACGCTAGCCTCATTTCATTGTTCTTTGGAGGTATTGAAATATCTGGTTTCATAATCAAGTCTTTGCACTCTATCAACGTGCTCAGAACGGAATCCCATTCATTTTGATCTTGATTGCTCCATCCTTCTGGCCTGTGTTCTTTTAAATGTTTCATTTTTTGTTCCACATGTTTCTGAAGGATATATAGGGTTTTCATAAGGTACAAGAAGTCCCATGTTGTCGGAGATTGATTCCAAGCAGTGAATCCCTCTAGAATGTTCCGAATGCGTTTAAGCTTAATTTCAATGTACATGGGTTCTGCTTCAGAGAGAGCTCTTCTGGTTTCATGAAGTCCATCAGAGGTGATGAGATCACGTATCCAAGAAGATCTCCAGGCCGCACTTTTCACGACATTGTCAAAGTTTGCTGGACAATCAGGGAATTAGAACCAGAAAACAATACCAGTGGTGCACAAAGACAGCATAAATACCTTGTGTCAATGATAGCATGGGATCCAAAAGGTCTGATATTTCAACAAAGAGATTCTGACATCAGCACTTGGACATATTTTGAAATTCAAAACCATACCTCGGACAACTTGATCATCTTCAGAGTCACTCCCATTCCAAACAGCTACAAGACTTTTGGGATCTGAGTGACAGTGCTGTTCGAGGAGCTGAGCTAGTTGGTAAATCTTTGACTTATTCTCTTTTGTGATACCTGCGCAATAGAATCTTCCAAATGAATGGAGGGAAAAGGATAAGTGAGCCTTTTCAAACAAGCTCAGCTCTCCTCTTTTCAAGAGCTGATCAAAAATATGCAATATTGCGTCGATTTGGAAACTATCAAAAGAAAGCCTCCTTGTATAATGAAGAATCAACAGGGTTTCGCGTTCCCTTTCTTTTCCGTTACCGTGTATATATGTCTCCAGAGCTTTTCCAAATCTTTTCCAGGAATCTGGAAACTCTCCATCGTCCGAACGATCTGATTGTTTGCATGGTCGGGTCAGACTTTTTGGACGCGAAATGTGAGAAATAGACTAGTCACCAACAGAGGGAATGGGGAACCATAATTTTGGACTTCTTAAGATGCAGAGAGTCTTGAGAAGATGAGAAACACAGCTCTTCTCCGGAGAGCAGTGGCTGAGCTCTATAGATTTCTTTTTGTTCAGCAGAATGATTTTTTCACATTATGATAGTGAGAGACTTACAAAGCTTTCTGAGTCTCTTGTTCTTCATCTTTTCCTGACAGAAAATCGTAGCAATGTGATATACAGTTTCTAATCTTTGGTCTTGGACCTGGTCAAATATATTCATAATCAAACAGAGTAGCAAAAAACTCAAGAGCCTACTGGAAGGACCCCATCAGATAATTCTCAGCATACCTTTTGATACATTCTGAGTGAACCCCGCGTTGGGTCGAACTGCTTGATCATTATTGAGAGATTCAGGTGCTGTTTCTTCCCTGTGTCTTGTGAACCCTTCACTATTTTGGCGCGCATGTTTGTGATTGTCAGTGAAAGTAAAAAACAAAGCTCTGCAGATCAGCCTACTCATGACTGTGACTAGACACTACAGCTGGTTTAATTCCAGCGTTGTTCAGTTAGTATCTTTCAATCCACCAATATTTGAGTGATTGAAAAGTAACACAACTGACTATTGAATGGTGGGGACCGTTCATCAAGTGCCATTATTGGAAAGCCACTATGGACATGATTCATATCAGAGAGAATAAGAATTGATGGAGTACCTAAAACTCAAGCATTCTCCTCATCTAATTACAATGTTTTCTCCAAGACTGAGTCACCATCTATTGAACTGATTGGATTTGATGCTTGAGGAGTTTGATGAATTCATCAACTTCAATGAAAATTTGACTTACAGTATGTCTCCAGAATGCGGGCCACCCAAATGTTCAGAGTCTACAAAGATGGATATTTTTCAGTTGGAAAAATCCATAACATGCACAAAGACCCTGGTAGTATATTGTTATATAATTTAGTTGAAAATCAGTGTTACCTAGACTTTGAACCCTC